AGTCTGTTTTCTAACTATGTATTAATCTGCAATTGTCATGTGCTCCGAAATCTGAATGTATATGACATTGTTCCATAAGAACCAATGGAACCATGTATTAATTTTTTTTTTTGGAAGAGATATATAAAGTACATAAATAGGAATTTACTCACTGGAGATTAGACATATAGCCTGCATTACTGTACCTGTTTATCTTCTGAAAATATATTGATTTATACCATTACCATGCTGTGGCTTGGTAGTCTTGTCTCACCATTTGCCTTTGATTACCATATTCAGTAATCTCAAGAGAGATAAGGGAGGGGTTTACAAAGAAAGATGATACCCAATATCTTGAAAAAGATAAATGCCAGGTATTTTGTCCTTCAACTACAATGACTGGTCAAGTAAACTTGATCCCATGTGATCAGCGATATATTTTGAGACATCATGGGTTGCAATAATTCATGGCCTGCTATGCATGCTGTGATCACAACAAACTGATACCAACTGGTCAAGGACTTGGGTCTTTGATATCCATCCCCTGTGCGACCCTTTCTGTACATGTTAGTGTTTTTAAAACAGTCGGCATGTACACACACACACACCATGAATTCCTTTTAGTTCTTTTTGCCATCTAGATACATATTCGAAAGAGGACCTTTCACTTCAGACCTGATGTGTTCTGTATGCCGAGTGTTCATTCTTCTAGCTGGGTGCAGTAGCATACCGTAAGGTTGAGAAAGTCACAACAAGAAACTGTGATTAGGAAGCGATAAAACTGTCACATAAAAACCTCAAAATATCTGTTGTGGTACTTGGTTATTTTGGGGTAATATTAACTGGTGGACTGCTATACTGCCCCATATATGACCAAGTGTTTAATCTGACAGTGATTTGCAGGGATAAAATGGTGCATGTCCAAATTTTGTTTTGCTTTTTAACTCTGTAGCAAAATTAGAATATTACGTGGTTGAGCATAGCTGTATTGGATATTATAGTTGAATGCATTTTGTGTTCATGCTTTTAATATCAATTCCATAGACAACATAATTCCGCAAATCAGCGTAAATTCAAAGCATGGATGTAACTATAATATTTGTCAGAGGTTGGTGATACAATGGCTGCGTGAATGTATCACAATGCCCTAAGATCACAAATGTGCCAAGGTTGTGTCCATTTTTGGATTTTGTGACTAATAAAATATGGATCTGTGTAGCTTTCTTTGTAATGCGAGGTCAGGACACATTCATATATTGTTTTCTAGGTGTGCTAGTTGTGTGCCGTTATTGGCAACACACAATAAAATGTAGTTTTTTAATTATTTTTTTTTTTTAGATGATTTTGTTGGACAAAGGTACAATAATGCAGGCTGTATAGAGGGATTTACACACTATTTTAGTCACTTGTTAACCTGTGGGTAGAATACTGAACTGGTTATAATGGCACTTGAAAAAAAATTTAATTTGAAAACAAACACAAGCCATAATATTTGCATTGTTTAGCATGAACTTAAAACTGCTTTACATATCAGTTTTTCTAATGTCAGTATATGAAAATGCTCAGTGAATGTGACTAATTTAATGCAATTTCTTAGGTTACATAGGGGGAAATATTGACCTGATTCCTGACGAATATGGATTTATAAACTATTGAAAGTAAGCGGTTTATGTTGGGGCCCTTAGGAAGAAAAGAAATACTATTATTTCTTAAATGATATTGCCACTTCGGGTTGCTTCTGTTTAATATGCAAAATCCAAGTACGACGGTTTTCTTTTCCATGTGAAAATCCGACACTTAAAGGAAATATGTTTAAAAATGAAATTGATTATGCTGTTGGTTCATCCCAATCTTTATCCATCATTTTACCCTATATCATCTTTATTTTCACACACCTGGCAGGGCAACATTTTTAAATAGTGCAGGGGATCCAATGGACCTCAGTAGCCGTAAAGGCCTGATTCCCTGATGCTCATATTATCCACTTCTAGTTCCTTAGTTAAATAATATCACCCCCCCTCCCCACCACCACCATGCACACCTACTTATTGGCCAGCAATTCTCCAGTAATCAATCTTTGCAACAGCTCTCATAGTGGCTGCTTTTCAAATCTCCACATGTAGGACATACGTGAACAACATATTTTCTATGTGTTTGGCCATGAACACCTGTAATGAAGAGATTAGGGACAATGAGGCACTTTAATAGAATTTGCTTTCCTCATACTTGGAAGGTATGGAGCAGGACAGGAAGGGTGTACCGGTGATAATACACACCACTGGGGCCTCCTGCGTGGTGTTATCTTACCCACTCCAGACTGCTTTTGAAGCATTCTTATGGGCTTAATGTCCTAAATTAACTTGATCCTCTCACTCTGTGCTTGCTGGGGATTTAAGTTTCTGGTGTCCCCAGAACAGGGGCAATAGAGACCTAACCCAGGATGTTTTGGAAATGGGACTTGAAAACTGGGATTGTCCCAAGAGATCCATACTTTCTGTACATTCTGTTCCTATTCTAAGTGTAGGATAAACTGCATTCTGTTTAAAAGTGTGGTGGGGCAGAGGAGGGAGCTATAATAGTTTGTAAATTAAAACATTAATTTTCCTTACATCTGGTTTTACAAAGTGATCCAGCAGCACAATTCAATTAAACGGCTCTTCGGTGCTGGAGCCTTATGAAGCAGAACCATTATTAAAGGTTTTTTTTTTTGTTTTGTTTCTTTCATTATTCACTAGAATGGCTTTCCTGTTTTTCATGTATAAATCATAAGTATTGTATAGTTATTTTTATATTCTGATCTTAGTAAACTAGCCTGTCCTAATTCTTTTAATAAATATTTCATATATTTCAGTCATTGACTGTTTCAGGTAATGTTTGTCATCGCTTCTGTTTATTCATTGACCTCATTTATTGTGCTCATTTCGCTGTATGCAAATTGAAAGACTCTATAAGAGGTCACATGGTGTATTTTAACACATAATGATAATGCGGTTTAACAAAATGGAAGATACACAGTCAAATGGCTCTGTTGGTGGGAATAGTCATGGCTAACATCATAGAAGTTGTGAACTACATTACCCATGATCAGGGCCGGACTGGGGGGAAAAAAATTAGGCCCGGGCATTTTTCAATCAGAGCGGCCCCCTAAGAAGGCGGCGGGGCCAGGGAGCGTGTGTTTTGTCATCAATAATGACAAGCACGCCCTCTCTCAAAGTGAGCATGTTGGTTCAATGGGCAGAGCCCCGCTGAAGAGCTCTGGCATTAGAAAAAGGCCCTGAATTTGTTCTGCACAGTGCAAGTCAGCATGCCAAACATGCTTGCGCTGTGTTTGCTTTTAAATTGTCTCGGGTGTCTCCACAAGTGGGATACCAGAGGACAAAAGGGCCAAGAAAGTGTATGGTGCATGTGTTTGGAGCTTGCTTGTGGGATTGCGTGTGTGTAGAGTAAGCTGGTTGTTGTGTGGTATTGTGTAAATAGGTCAATTTAATTCGTGTTTGGGGTGTAATATGTGTGGCTAGGGGCTGTAGAGAGTGTGTGTGTGTGTATAGGAGGCATAGTGTTTATAGGGGATGTAGCGAGTGTGTGTGCATACGGGCTGTAGTGTGTGTGTGTGTGTGTGTGTGTGTGTGTATAGGTGATGTAGAGAGGGTGTGTTTGCTGACAAGGAATGTAGTGTGTGTAGGTGTGTGTGTGTGTGTGTATGAGATCTAGTGTGTAAAGGACCCAGAGTGTGTATAGGAGATTGTGTGTATACACACACACACACACACACACACACACGATCCAGCGCACTCACCTATCCACTAAACAGCAACTTCAATGTTGAAAGATTTTATTTATTTTTATTTTTTTTAAAAACACCTAATCTAGGCAAAAATAATGGGGGTTTAGTTACATTATATGATCATACATTGCATAAGCCTGCCACAACGTCAATGTACCATATATATATATATATATATATATATATATAATTAAGAGTGCATATAGGGTAAGGGATCTAGCGTGTATCTGGAGCGTAAGGTGTGTTTGTGTGTGTGTGTGTGTGTGTGTATGTATATATATATATATATATATATATGTATGTGTAAGGGGCACAGTGTGTGTATGTAAGAGGGGTGCTGTGTGTGAGGTTGTTTTTATCTGCCGTCACATTCTAGGTTTCTAATTTTCTGTCTGTTAACTCACTGGGGGTTATTTTATATAATATATATATAATGTGTGTGCTATGTGAGTGAGCGAGGGTGCTGTGTGTGTGTGTGTGTGTGTGAGGGGGCTGTTAGTGAGTGTGAAGAGTGTGAATGTATTTTTATTTAAATTTAAATATATTTTTTATTAATAATAAAAAAAAAAATTTTTTATCCCCCCCCCCTCCCTTCTTACCTTTAGTCTGGGAGGAGGGAAGGGAGGAGCCGGGTTTCCATGAGGAGGGACCATGCTGCCATCCCTGGTGGTCTTAGCGGTGAGAGTTCACTCTCGTGAGATCTGAGCGTTGCCGCGGTAACCACGGCAATGCTTAGAATCCCATGAGAGGCTAGAGCTCCGCCGGTCCTCTCCTCCCTCCCAGCTGGTGGCCGCATGTCAGTGCCTCTGGGCCGGTGGGGAGATCTTTGATCTCCCCACCGGCCCATGGAGGCACACAGAAGGGCCGGCGCTCGGATAGTGCTAGCCCTGCAAGGGCTGGCAGCGGAGATCCTGTGATCTCCCCTGCCGGCCTCGGCCCCACGGCCATCGCGGCCAGTCCGGGCCTGCTCATGATGCTTGGTAACCGTGACAAGCAAAAAATTTGAAAGTGAAATTTCTCTGGACATTTTTGTAAGTCTATGGAATGTAGAAAGTGTACAACAGCAGTTGCTCACACTAGAATGAAGTATATTCTAGCTGTTGCAATTTAATAAACCAGCCACAATGATTTTGTTTTACTTGAATGCTATTTATATTTTTTTTTTGACCTTGCTGAATTTTTCTGGCAGTTATACCTGCATTAAATTTTATATTTAAAATTCATCCACTGCCTTCTACCTGATATTAATTGGGTTATTTTGGCTCAAGTGAAGCAAACTGCAAAAATATTTGCTGTTAAAGAAAAAAAACATGATCTAAGACTAATACCACTGAACTGAAAATGATAGGTTATCCTGATGCTCTTGGATACTTCATGAAAAACCGACTGGCAAATACATCCTTTAAAAATGTAATGCAGATTAGGGATTTTGTCTATTTCCTGGGGATTAGACAGGCTGCTGAGATGGACTTTACCACTTTTGAGTGCTTCTGTTTACGTGGTTCATGCATGGCTTCCCGGGAACAAATCTTTACAATTGTTTTTTACTGGTACACCACTCCTGTGCATCTCTCCAGTATAGGTACATTTCCTGTGGATTTGTACTGGAGATTGTGGTCACTGGGGTACCTATCTACAAATGGGATGCATCTGCCCCAGGGTGGTTACAAATTGGGGAACTGCTATAGTTATATTATAGAACAGCCCCTCAAGTACAGGTGGGGTTGAGAGTGTAAGGCAGGCTAGGCAGGTTGTGGTGGTAGGGGACGCTCTTATTAAGAGAGTAGACCGGGTAATCTGCTACTCTGTCTCAACCGGACAGTTTGCTGTCTCCCAGGTGCCAGATGTTGCTGACAGAGTGAAGGGATTATTGGGAGGGGCTGGGGATGACCCAGCTGTCATGGTCGATATTGGTACCAATGACAAAGTTAGAGGAAAATGGAAGGTCCTAAAGAATGAGTTCATGGAACTAAGAATTAAGCTAAAGAAAAGGACCTCCAAGGTAATATTTTAAGAAATATTACCTGTATCGCGCACTACAGCAGAAAGGCAGCTGAAGATTTGAGAGGTCAATGCATAGCTGAAGTCTTAGTGCAGGAAAGAGGGTTTTGGGTTTTTAGAGCACTGGGCCGATTTTGCGCTTGGGTACAGCCTGTATAGCCATGATGGATGGCACCTAAACAGGAGAGGGTCTGCTGTGCTGGGGGATAGGATGGCTAGAAGACTGGAGGAGATTTTAAACTAGTAGTAGTGGGGGGTCATGGATATAGGAAAGAAAGGAGATGGGTTTTAGCTCAGTATAAGGGGGCAAGCTCAGAACAGAGGAGGTATGTAATATTGATAAAAATTCACAAAAAGTACAAATGACTCCTGATAATATGAAGTGTATGCTTACTAATGCAAGCAGCCTATATAACAAAATGGAGGAACTAGAGGCAATAGCAAACACTAAACAATATGATATGATATGATATAGGCATAACAGAATCAAGGTGGGATGTTACACATGACTGGGCAATTAACTTAAATGGGTGCACGTTAAAAACAAGAAGGGTGGTGGGGTATGTTTGTATGTCAACCATGAGTTAAAGTTAAATCTTAGGCATGTGGAGTGTGACGAGGAAAATGTGGAAGCTTTATGGGTAGATATCTGCTTGGGGCAATACAGGGAAATCAATTATTGGTTGGGATATGTTATAAACCACCTAATGTAAATATTAATGAGGAAGAACAGCTGTTAGAGCAAATTGGGAAAGCTGCGAATTCGGGTAACACGTTAATTATTTGATATTTTAATTACCCGGACATAAATTGGGATAGAAGGATTAGTACTTCAGCAAGAGGAATCAGGTTTTTGAATGTGTTAAATGACACCTTCATGGAGGATGGGGCCTGGAAGCATGTCGGAGGAGCTCCAGCTTGAAGAAGCTAGAAAAGCCGATTCCATCAGTGTGGTGTGCAGGTGGTCGTCCCTGACTCAGAACGTGGTAGAGAATCCTGAGGGAGGTTTAGTGTAGCCATCAGAGCCTTCACCTCCTGAAGACCAAGGACCACCAGTGTGCCTGTTGAATCCCATCTATACCTGTATCTCGGCACCTAAAAGCTGATATCCCCTCTTACTACAAACGCTGGTGCCGATGCAAACACAAATCCTGAGGATCCTGAAGCTCTGAAGTGGCAACTGGAGCATGCAGCCTACTCAAACGGGGGGGTGAGGTGGATGGCTGCAGCCTTACCCTCTCCTAGATTCCCGCACATCGGTCCATCGATGGTACGCCTGGCTTGTCCTGTCATATCCCCCCCCATGGACCGGTGCGGGATATCCCAGTCCTCACTGCAGGGATCCCCAACTGCTGAGCGGAGGTAAGAAGGGTGACCCCAGCAAGTACTATGCTGCATCCTGACCCCAATATGGCCGCCGAACAAGCATCTCCACAACTAATGCTGCAGCTGGGCCTGCACACCACCCTGCTAACTTGGCTATGGGACGACCGAATCCAATGATAACCGGCACAGGTGAACAGAGTCCATACGATCACATGCAAAACGAACTCCGGAACCACTGCTGGACCCTTGCAGATACTTTCCTGGGCCTTAAGCCTGGCGGAGAAAATCTCCACATCAAAGCCCAATGCCCAGGTACCAACCCGGGACACCAATGCTGGTTCACAGCAGAGCCAGATCCATGGGCGCATGATGCAGGCTCGTACAGCAATCTAGGGCTGCTGGGGAAGCAGACTTAAGCAGAACTCTAAGCTAACCGGTTTTCAACAGACAGAGGGTTGAAGCAGGTCGAGGGGCCATAGGTATCGTAGATACATACTTACCTATTCCTCTTTACCACGTAGTTTACCCTGTATTATAAGTGGATCCCAGTGGCTTATTAAGCATTGTGTTTCTTCTCCTTTCACTCATAGCTCCCTACACGCTTATATGTTATACTTACCTATTAATTTCCATACTGCTAATATGCATACGTAAGAGAAACCTAAATCTTTACAAAAGCATTTGTATTTGCCCACACTGTGTTCTGCTATGCATGGTCATCCTGATTACTTACTTTAAAAAAATGTGCAATGCTCTACATGCCATAAGGATGTCCTCCTGTGTATACTGTTAAGTTTGCTCCAGCTCTTGTGGCAAAGCAAACCTGCTTGTTAATCATATGCACAAATAAAATAAAGAATTTTTAAAAAAAATTACCCCTTCATGTCCCAAATGGTACAACTAGAAATTATGCTTGTCTGGATCTCGTTAAAACAAACAATGTTGGTCTTTTGACCAACATTCAAGTAGGGGAGCATTTGTGAAATAGTAATCACAATATAGTGCCCTTTAAAACAAACTCGCCAAAGCATGTGGGGTATACTAAAACGTATAATTTTTAAAAAGCCAATTTCAATAAGATTAGGGCAGCTCTACAACGTATCGACTGGCATAAACACCTTAGTGAGAAAAACACTGAGGATAAATGGAAACTCTTCAAGTAAATATTAGAAGGGTACATTTCTCACTATGTACCATTGGGTAATAAATATAAAAGAAACAAATTTAAACCAATGTGGCTTAGTAGAGAAGTAAAACAAGAGATTAAAAATAAGAAAAGGGCATTTAAAGCATTTAAATCGGACTAATCAGAGGCATCCTATATAAGATATAAGGAAGCCAATAATGCTTGCAAAAAGGCAATTAAAGTCGGGTGATAGCTGCTTGATCCAAGGAGATATCTGACTGCCATTTTGGGGTCAAGAAGGAATTTTTTCCTAGTTTGTTGCAAAATTGGAAGCTCTTCAGACTAGGTTTTTTGCCTTCTTTTGGATCAACAGCAAAAACATGTGAGGAAGGCTGAATTTGATAGAAGCAAGTCTCTTTTCAGCTATGTAACTAAATAACCCTGGCCATTTTTACTTTCCTGTCTGAGGATTTCAAAAGTGTTTGAAGAGACACTATTTAACAAAATTACCTTAGTGGCTTGCAGTGCCCTTGCAGCACTTTGGAACAGGACAGAAACAAACCTTTGGGAGGACATTACTAAGGTCAATGATGGTTATCTAATGGACAAACTCCCTAAAAATAGCAAAATCTTACTTGTATTCAAGCTTGAAGCTGTAGCTCTGCATGCTGTTTGACTCAGAAGCAATGCTTCCCCATAGGATTGGCTGAGACTGACAAGGAGGCAGATCAGGGGCAAAGCCAGCATGATTTAAACACAGCCCTGGCCAATCAGCATCTTCTCATAGAGATTAATTGAATCAATCTCTATGAGGAAAGTTCAGTGTCTGCATGCAGAGGGAGGAGACATTGAATGTTTGGATGCATTTTAGGCAGCCATGACCCAGGAAGGATCTCTAACAGCCATCTAATGAGTGGCCAGTGAAGTTTTCACTAGGCTGTAATGTAAAAAATACTGCATTTTCTCTGAAAAGACAGTGTTTACAGCAAAAACCCTGAAGGTAATGATTCTACTCACCAGAACAAATTCAATAAGCTGTAGTTGTTCTGGTGACTGTAGTGTCCCTTTAAGTCACTATGTTTCTGTTCATGCAGCCCTAGCCACACCTCCCTTGGCTATTACTCACACAGCCTGTATGAACAAAAATGGTTTCATTTTCATCAGATGGTTTTTGTTTTATTTTTGTAATTTCTTTTTGGATCAATTTATAGGTACATTGCAGTCAAACTTTAAATTAATGAGGATAAGCATAGCAGTCTGTTACAGGCTTTCTAGGGGTGAATAGAATAGAAGTCCCCAGGTTCCATCAGTGTGGTGTGCGGGTGGTCGTCCCTGACCCAGAACTTGGTAGAGAGTCCTGAGGGAGGTTTAGTGAAGCCATCAGAGCTTTCACCTCCTGAAGACCGAGGACCACCAGTGTGCCTGTTGAACCCCATCTATACTGGATGCTGTAACGGATCACCTGGCACCCCGACTGGGTACCTCCGTTGAAGAATGCTCCTAGCGCTTCCTGAGGACTCCAAGCACTCTGGCAGACACCACAATCACCGAACCGGAGAAACAAATAAATTCTCCCAAGCATATGAATGCTGTAGACAGTTGAATAGGAACCATACGAATAGGTTTACTCTCCTAGCAGTCAAACTGGAACAGCATACAATAAATCCTTCCCCCAATAATGAGACGACACTTCACTTTGAGGGTTAAAACAGGAACTCCCTGTACTGTCACATACAGTCTCTTTTATTCCCAATCCACAAACATAGTACAGCCCACAGGGCGTTACAAAACAGCCAATCAATCCATACAATACACCCAGACACTCCCACACAAAATCCTCCCCTCTGGCTGTGATATGATTACTGAACACAATGGGTAATCTAATTATCACAGCCAGAGAAATACAGTTTCATAAAACACATCACAGGGACCCCAAAACATGCAATAACCCCATAAAAAGTATATCCTTGGAACTGGGGGATCTGGGTGAACCACATATCCAAAATTCACCCAGATCCGTTCAGTACTTTGGAAAATACAGTTTAATGCAGATTCTGCAGAACATATACAGGCTAAATAAAAAACAATCACTGTATAATGTGTCCCCTGCTGTATAGTCCAAAACCACCGCACGATGTCTCTGTGCAACAAATACTGGCGAGATGGCACCGTGTTGAAAAGTCCACACAGTGTCTGTGAGTTAAAATGGCCGCCATCCATTGTTCTCACCATGTGCTTCTGATACAGGAAATGGTGGCCACCCAGTAACTCCCCAGCATGTCCCCAGATGGTTCTTAAAAGGGCTAGCAGCAGCACAACACAAATCCATTATGCCCAAATCATGTCTTTAAAGGGCAATACATCCCAGGGGCCATAGTCACATGGCAGGAGGCTGGCAACCAGGCTTCTCCAGTGCATAGTGGCGAGGTTGGTTCCGCCACAGATGCCATGCCTTCAAAGAAAGGATGTAAATGGTAGGACTGAGTGCATCCTAGCCAGGGTTCCCTCCGTGGTATTCCCATAAAAATTGAGCGTCATGTCTTCAAATTTGCATGGCGTGTTGTCCCTTACAGCGGACAACACTGCAGCCCTATCTCTGCTATTCTGAAAGCGGACCACCAGGTCCCTGTGTACATTAGCAGGCACCCTAGACGATTTAGGCACCCTGAAGTGGCTGTCCAGCCCTGCTGTTTTGCCTTGTCGAGGAGTGAAAGGTGCCACCAGGAGGCGCATCAGTAGGCGCAGGATTTCTGCTGCAGATATGTCTTCCTTAATGCTCACACACAAGGCTTCTGTAGGATTTAGTGAGGTATTAACAATGCAGGAGATAAGAATTTCTAAATTAAACAGACTGTGCAGTAAAGGAAGTATAAACATTAGATCTCTCTTTCCAGGAAGTGTTTAAGAAGGCTGTGCAAGTCACATCCAGGAAGAGGTGTGACTAGGGCTGTACAAACAAAGTGATTTAACTCCTAAATGGCAGAGAAGATTTAGTGGGTAAGATTAGATGGTTTTAGTTGGCACCATATTGAAAAAATGGAAATCAATAGAGTCAGGGCTCTATTGCCCCACTCTCTGGGCTGTAGCTCCCTTTAGCGACATCCCTTCTTGCAACTATCACTATTGTAATCTGTCCCCCTTTGGAAGAGTAGAATACTTTTTTACACAGATCTGGGAAACCTGAGAGATTGCAGGGCAGAGATGGAGCTGCGCTAGCTTTGGTTACAAACATGAAAGGTTGACTCTTTTGCCCTTTTAATTATGGGGTATTATAATAGATGCACCCTACAGGGTAACCATGATGAAAGCAGTAATGTATCAATTGTCATATGCAGCTGGTAAAATACTAGCAAAAAGAAAAGAAAATGCACAACACAGGTCAAAATTTCCAATGGTGTAAAATGTAATTATTTATAGTGACTAAAATACAAATTATTGTGTAGCAAAAATCAAATGGCGACACTAGTCTAAAATAGCAGAATTTTTCCAAATCAGTTACTGATATCTAAAATTTGCAGATTGGTTTGCAGTACAATTCAGCGTTTAGTGAATGATTAAGTTTATGAGTTTTTGAATGTGTTTTAAAAGAAAATTGTAATTAAATATCCCTGGTTACATTTTTTTGACAACATCTGTAAGCAATAAGTTAAAATGTAAGAAGACTGCTAGTTTTTACTGGTAGCATAACTTGTAAACTAATAGCGGTTCGTACATTTAAAGGGACACTACACCCTGTTCCAAATTATTATGCACATGCTATTTTTCTCATTTACCTACATAACTGATGTAAATAACATTCAGCATAATTCTCATGTTATCAACTATTAAGAGTACAATTCAAAATGTATTGAACAAACCTCCTAATGATAACACTATTTTTTTTAAACATAAAAAACTTACAATGCACAGTTCCAAATTATTACGAACAGTAAGTTTCAAAATACTTTATAGGTTGTAAAGAACTGAAAATTTTCATTTGTTGTGTTTGCAGCATATTTACTGAAATCAAAAGCTATTTCAATCAAACTTATAACAACATTTTAACTTTTTAAACATTTTAACAGGTGATAGGACCCCTTATTTGATAGCAGCTTAACAAGTCTTGCATCCATTGAACTTGTGAGTTTGTGGACAGTTTCTGCTTGAATTTGTTTGCAAGATGTTAGAATAGCCTCCCAGAGCTGCTGTTTGGATGTAAACTGCCTCCCACTCTCATAGATCTTTTGCTTGAGGATGCTCCAAAGGTTCTCAATAGGATTGAGGTCAGGGGAGGATGGAGGCCACACCATCACTTTCTCTCCTTTTATCCCCATAGCAGCCATTGATGCAGAGGTATTCTTTGCAGCATGAGATGGTGCATTGTCATGCATGAAGATGATTTTATTACGAAAAGCATAGTTCTTCCTTCTGTACCAGGGAAGAAAGTAGTCAGTCAGAAACTCCACATACTTTGCAGAGGTCATCTTTACATCTTCGGGGACCCTAAAGGTTGATTCTGGCCCAAAACATGACTCCACCACCGCCTTGCTGACGTCGCAACCTTGTTGGAACAGGGTGGCCGTCCACCAACCATCCACTACTCCATCCATCTGAACCATCCAGGGTTGCATGGCACTCATCAGTGAACAGGACTGTTTGAAAATTAGTCTTCATGTATTTTTCTGCCCAATACAGCCGTTTCTGCTTGTGAGCATTGGTTAGCGGTGGCCAAATAGAAGGTTTATGCACAGTTGCAAGACTCTGGAGGACTCTACACCTTGATGCCCGTGGGACTCCAGAGGCACCAGCAGCTTCAAATATCTGTTTGCTGCTATGTAATGGTATTTTAGCAGCTGCTCTCTTGATCCGATGCATGGATCTGGCAGAAACCTTCCTCAATGCGCCTTTATTTGCACAAACCCGTCTGTGCTTTGAATCAGCCACAAATCTCTTAATAGTGCAATGATCACACTTAAGTTTTCGTGAAATATCTAATGTTTTCATACCTCGTCCAAGGCATTGAACTATTTCACTCTTTCCGGCAGCAGAGAGATCCTTTTTCTTCCCCATATTGCATGAAAATGGTGCTCTGCTTAATAATGGGGAACACCCTCCTTTAGATGTTTTTCCTTACATTGGGCTCACTTGGCAATCTAATTATCAGGTGGCAGAGATTGTTTTCAGTGATCAAAAAAGCCCTGAGACACAATGCCATCCATGAGTTAAACTGAAAAACAAAATATTTAATCTTTGTGACACTTAAATAGAATTTGCAAAATAATTTGGGACAGGGTGTATAGTCACCAGAACAACTACAGCTTATTGAATTTGTTCTGGTGAGAAGAATCATTACCTGCAGGCTTTTTGCTGGAAACACTGTCTTTTCAGAGAAAATGCAGTGTTTACATTACAGCCTAGTGATAACTTCACTGGCCACTCCTTAGATGGCTGTTAGAGATCCTTTCTTGGTCATGGCTGCCTAAAATGCATCCAAACATTCAGTATCTCCTCACTCTGCATGCAGACACTGAACTTTCCTCATAGAGATTCATTGATTCAATTCATCTCCATGAGTAGATGCTGATTGGCCAGGGCTGTGTTTGAACTGTACTGGCTGTGCCCCTGATCTGCCTCTTTGTCTGTCTCAGCCAATCCTATGGGGAAACATTGTGATTGGATCAGGCTACCACCTCTGATGATGTCAGCAGACTGCTGTTTTTTTCCTGAGGAAAACAGCATGCAGATCTACAGCTTCAGGCTTGAATACAGTAAGATTTCTACATTTATGGAGGCATGAAAGGGCTCAAGGGAGCTAGATGGTGGTTTTAACAATATATGGTCAGGAATACATGTTTCTGTTCCTGACCCTATAGTGATCCTTTAATAAACTGCCAATTGTTGTGCGTTGGAAATCGTATAGTCAAATTAAAATAGTAAAATATAGTAGCTGTCCTTCTAGCATTCTTGGAGGATTTTCAAAATCAGTTTGTTTTCCAACTTGGTTTGCAATTTACTGTTTATTAAATAAACCCCTGCAAGGTTATGCCTGTATATCTTTGTGGCCAGGAGACACATTTTTCTATATTACATCAGTAATCCCTATAAATGTTCAGATGCTCCCATAAACCAGCAATATGGAGCCTTTCTTGTGCTCTGTTTGTAATTTCCTTTGAAATTCCAATACAATCAAGAGATGAGACAAACTACTTTTTCTCATGTAATTGCCACTCTTGTTCAAACACTAGGTTATCTATGAAAAATCCTGCAATCTAATGGAATCATCCATAGAACCCATTTTTTTAAAAATTCTTTATTTTGTAAGTGCAGAGGAACAGGCACAAAATGACTGACATATGTTGTAGATTACAAAAACAAGTGAGTACAGACTTAAAGTTACAATATGCCAATATTTTGTTAAGTATAATGAATAGATATATGCAAGATAAACATGTCAGGGTATGAGGAATTCCTAACAGGTTAATTGATATGGTGAAAAGTATGCAAGATTATAATGTTGAGATCAAGATAGGTGAGCATGTCTATGGACATAACCAAAGCTAAATATGCAAGCATAGAAGACATTCTAGACATGGTGTTTGCTACACAATATTAAGTGTGAAAGCACTGACTGACAGTAGATGTAACTAATAGGAGAGTGTAGTACCACTGGATATTTAAGCATAAACCATTGCTGGTCAATCTAAGCAGGTCAATAGGGTGTTGCATTATAGGCATAACGGTTATATTTGTTAGGAGAGCAGCTGTGGGGTCAGCAGCCTTGCACTAGTGAGAGTCTGCAGTCCATTCACCCGATGCCCTCGCAGTGAGATCGGGCTCTAGCGTTCTGTCAGGCCCACACTCCAAGGCTATTCCACACAAGGTTCTTCGGCATCCAGCCACATCCAACAGTGGAGGATCGTGTTTGTGATCCAACTGCCCCCTGCTGCCTGCCTTGCTTGTCGGAGATCCTCCATCTGGGAGATCCAAATTTGCCTCACCGTTTAGGTGAGTGGGTGCGGGTGTTACCCAGTCGGTGTTTATGCCCCTTTCTGTAGTGTTTATGCGCCTTCCATTACCATGCTATGGGCCCCCTGGGGAGATCTCACTCTGCCATGTTGAACGTCATACCGGAGCTTTAGAACAAGCGGTCTTCAGATGAGGGTTGAGGAGTGGCTGCCACCCCACTCCCAGTATGATTTAGGGCCGCCGAGCCGTTCGACACGGGTGTATCCACCGGATTCATGCAAATGCAGGCACGTAGGTCATCTGAGTACTCCTCAATAGAATTAGCAGGATTAGTGCCAAGATTATGCCAGGAGCCAATGAATAAGGAATACGACATCAGGAAGAGGGATATGCTGAGAAGGGAGAATGTAAGTAGAGTATATCTCTTTAAGAGGACATGTCACCTTGAGAGAAGAGGAGAGGTCTTTGCAAAATAAGCAAACAATTGCAAAGACCCCACAAGAGACAGTGTAATTTTATAGTACTAATGTCATTGATATTGATCTTTTCACTTTGATTAAGTATTTTAAAAACTACGAATTTTACTAATACTATTGTATGTTATTCACCAGGCAGCTCAAATATCTATTTATACTTCTATGTACAGGGGAATATTGTGTTTCAACTTCTTAACAACCAAATGACATACCATGTATGTTATATTTAACACTTTGTACTTGGTACTCTAATAATAGCATGCTTTATACATTTTGCAAATAATCACATAAATGTTTGCATGTGCCATGCGTCCAAATGCTTCTCTCTGAGAAGCAGCCAAATGGCTGGGAGATCATAGTACATCAGCGAGTGCGGGCTGGGGAAAGTTAACAATTTATTCTCAGTTATTGGGACTCGGGAGGCAAAGTGTGCAAAAGATTTTAAAAAAAAACAATCCTAAAAACACCTTATACTCTTGGCGTTTTTCTTTTCTTTTTCTAAACACCTTAGACACACCCAGGTAATCCCTAAATCCTGGACTGTTAGGTGCGTCTGGAGGAGAGGGTTGAGCGGCACTGCTTTAAATAACTAATCTGTTTGATTACTGACATCATATTCTCTCAGCTGCTGTCCCTTTGGTGGCAGGTTTGTTAATTAGATCTAAAACTGGAGCCATCTTCATTGAAACTAGTGGAGTCATCCAGCCAGCCCATTCCGATGATGACCAAGGCTCGAGTAATGCAGGAACGTGTGGGAATGGCGTTCCTGCACTTTTTTTACACCTGATGGACCCCCCCAGCGGGCGCCTGTCTCCCGATCAGATGCGACGAGGGAGCTGAGTTCTCTCTGCTCCCTCTCGCCGTTTGCTGATACCGGGAGCCGCAATATGACGTCATATTCCGGCTCCCAGCATCAGTAGACAACCCGCGCGGCGAGAGGGAGCAGAGAGAATACAGCTCCCTCTCCGCGTCTGACCTGCAGACAGGCGCCTGCCCCACTGGACCCCTGGGGCAGGTCCACGCCAGCTCTCCAGGTAGGGAGGCTGGGTGGACATTTTTTTTTTTTAATTCTTTATTTTTCATGCGATGAAAGGACAGACATATTAGTAATACTGCAATCGCATGCACATGGTTTGCATGAACATTTAACATTGAGTACATTGTTGAGGTACAGTTCGCATATATTTTAGTTATCTTGGGCTGATGTGTTGTAATGGGGGCCTTAACTAGTGAAACTGTGGGTGAGTATACACCTGTCTATGTGTGACAGCGCAGTTACCTTGGAGCTGTCTAGTGTTGAGGTGTGTGGTATCAGCTTTGCTTCCAGCTATGGGGGTGAAATCTCAGACTGGCCGCTTAAATCTATGGTAATAAGGTGCTCCCAGTGGATTCCATGGCTTGTGCCGTGTTAGGCATTTGGTGTGTTGTGGCTCGCACCCCAGGGGCACCTTGGTTAGTCCTGGCCTGTAACTAAATTGCCTCACTTTGGAGGCTGCGAATGTCCGTAGCATACTAGTGCTGTGAGCCTTGAGCTAGTTTTAGTAGTGTAGATGGCTATGTGTAGTCGCAAGGTGGTTTAGAGTCTGTGTCGGATGTGTGTCTAGGTGTGTAGAAGCTGTGGGGGAGCTTATCTGACAAAGGTAAAGCGATGGTGGGTGAGATTGAAAGCGTTGCACTATGTGAGAGTATTGAACTCCTGTGATGATAGTACCCTGTTACCCCAGGGCTGGGGGTGGGGGCAAAGGGCGCCACCAGAGCTATTTGGTGGTGCCTCCAATGGGTCCCTAGCACATCGTAGGAACTAAGGGCGCCACCAGAGCTATTTGGTGGTGCCTCCAATGGGTCCCTATCACATGGTAGGAATTATCTCTTGGGTTTTGCAACAGAAATAATGAACCCTAAATATATGAGCTGGCAAACGCTGTTAATAATAAAATATAAAATAACATATAGAAGGTTTAAGGCCGTGGGCCTTGGTTCAGGTCTTGAAGCGTCCATGGGTTCTTTGTGCACCAGCTGCGGCTGTTGTCTGGTTGTGTCGTCAGAGTCGGGAGTCCCAGTGCTTCCATTAGTGCTGGGCCCTCTGAGGGGTCTGTGGCCTTAAAATGCTTGTCATCTTTGGTGATCCATAAGGTTCCTGGGGTCACCCACTTGTAGGTAATGCCAGCTGCTTGGAGTGGTTTAGTGAGTGGCTACATTTATTTGCACCAGATTAGTGTGGACCTGCTCAAGTCCTGAAAAAAGGAGAGTCGACAGTCCTCGAACTCCAGAGGAGTCTTTCATTTTAGCGCTGCTAAGAGTCCCAATTTGTCGGCCATGGATTGGCATCTTAGTATGATGTCTCGAGGAGCTTACACCTGATGGAATATTCTATGTACTCCGTCAAATAGGAAAGCTTTGGCATGTCTGGCTGGTAGTATTGTGGTCACTAGGCGCCTGATGAAGTGTGGTAATTCCTCCAGCGGCACGGATTCCTGTACTCATCTGATTTTGACGTTTTTGTGTCTCCCCCTGTCGTCTAGTAGGTTGACTTGTCTGGATAGGGTTGTCTGTTTGGTATGTAGTTGTTGTACCGTCTCCCCCAGTGCTTGTATGCCCTGTTTCAGGCTCTCAACTGCTGTCTCTGTTGCTTGTGTACGTGCTGTCACTGCTTGTACATCAACTTTAATCACTGCCAGGTCAGCCTCCTACATTTGCCTGAGATTCTGCTGTAGTCTTGTCAGCATGGCCCGTATATCACTCCTGGAAGCTCGGGAGCTGTCCTCTGTAACTCATGGGGGAGCTGGGCGACAGGGACTGGGTGGTGGGTCCCCTTCCTCTGAGGGCTGTAGGGAGGTGTCGCGGTGGGACGAGGTCCGTGTTGCGCCTGGGGCCAGCAGCATTTGGCCTATGTCGCTCTGAGATTTTGGGGTGTGCACTGGCGGTTTCTGAGACCTGCGCCCCATCTCACCTGTGTTTGGCAGGCTGGGATCCCAGTCTTCCAGGTCGGATGTGCCCCAGGACCAGATTCCCTCTGTGGAGGCTCTTTGCCTTGCGCCCGCATGGTAGGCCTTGCCACCCCTTGGTGGACATTTTTTAATTTAAAATAATAATAATAATGTGTGTGTGTGTCTGTGTATGTGTGTCTGTGAGTGTGTATGTGTCTGAGTATGTGAGTGTATGTGTGTGTGTCTGTGAGTGTGTGTTTGTATGTGTCTGAGTATGTGTGTCTGTGAGTGTCTGTGTGTGTCTGTGAGTGTGTTTGTGTGTGTGTGAGTATGTGTGTGTCTGTGAGTGAGTGTGTGCGTGTGTGTGTGTGCACCCTCACACACACACACACATACACAGCACACACTAACAGCACCCTCACACACACAGCACTCTCACACACAGCACCCTTACACACACACACTAACAGCACCCTCACACACAGCACCCTTACACACACATACACACACTAGCAGTATCCTCACACACACAGCACCCTTACACACACTAGCAGCACCCTCACACACAGCACCCTTACACTCTCACACACACACACAGTGCCCTCACACACACATCACCCTAACACACACACACACCACCCTCACAAACACACACACACACCGCACCCTCACACACACAGCACCCTTACACTCACACAGCACCCTCACACAAACACACAGCAGTGTGTGTGTGTATATATATATATATATATGTATATATATATATATGCGGCTTGTGTGTTAGTGTGTGTGTGTGTGTGTATGTATGTATATATATATATATATATATATATATATATATACGCGGCATGAGTGTTTGTGCTTTAGGGTGCACACCTTATGCAATAGGCTGCGCATGCCTATGTGTGTGTCTGTGAGTTTCTGTGAGTGTGTGTGTCTGAGTATGTGTGTCTGTTAGTGTATGTGTGTGTGTGTGTAAGTGTGTATGTGTGTCTGTGAGTGTATGTGTGTGTGTGTGTCTGAATGTGTGTGTGTGTGTCTGTGAGTGCGTGTGTGCAAACGTGTATATATATATATATATATACATACATGAGTGTATATTATTTTTTTGGGGGGAAGGTAGTAATCTTGGGTGAGTTCCCACCCTTTATTCCCCAGGACTTGACCCCTGATGATGACTATTCACTGTTACAATCTTGTACTGCATCTCAGGTCATGACGCTTTGAAAATGTTTGATGAAACACCTAATACAGCCAACTTTCTACTGGTAATTACTGGTAATCTTGCTTCCTATCTGTTTTAAGTATAGTTATAAAATTGTTTATTGAAAAAGTATTTTAAAATGTCGGGTAAGCTTTCATGTCTAGGTTGCAAAGAAATGTGCAGGGTATGAACCAAGAATCTTTGCTTGGTGACCTTCAGAGCAACACTAAAGGAAAACATGTAAACCCATTCAGAAGATGGATGTTTGCCCAGAATATACAAATTAATATGGGAAAGAATATATGATACTTGGCAACTTTTCATATTCAAGAGGTGTCCAAATAAAGACCAAAGCTCCAGTCAATAACTTTAAAGGATCAGCTCTACCACCTGTCCTGTTTAATATTTAATTGAACTATTAGCAGGCCTCGCTGTCTGTGTGTTATTTATTTCCCTTTAGATACATTTACACAGTTTATACCTGGCCAAATAAGAACAACATTACGAACAATCAAATATTAACTAACTGGCTAGATAATGTATATGGCTGTGTATAAATGCACGTGGCAATATAATTGTACAAGCGGTTAATGTAGATATGGGTAGGAATCAAGTGTAGTAGTAATATATACAGGGTAATTCACTATAGAGTGAATTACTGGGAATTTAAAGTGAATTTTAAAAATCATATTTTAAATCAAATCGGTACAGCTCACTTGAAGAGGTTTTCCATTTCAGCTATTTTGGACTTAAATTTGAAATTTACTTTGAATTTCCGACAATTTTTAC